ATACTATTTTATTGTCGTTTGAATCCATAGATTTGTGATTTCTATTGAGTTGGTCTGTTAAGAATCCCATGAGATACGGGTGGTCCGTTATGTAAAATCGTTGAAAAAGCATCAGGTCGCTAAACTTCCTGAATAGCTTGACTGTGATGAGTTCTTGGCAGTCCAGGCTGACTGTCTCTTTAGCAGAAGGTGAATGCCTTGAATATTAATGCTGCAATAAAGTTTAGGGAGACGGTTTTGATCCGACATTTCAGAAAGTTTGCTGTAATATCTTGTTTTTACAGTTAAGGTGAGGTTGCTGGAGATGAAATTCTATATCTGAACTTCCGGTCAAATAGTCATTAGAACAACAAATATAAGCGAACAATTGTTTTCAATTAGATCGTCATCAGGCTCTACTCTTATATACATGAGTATTTATACGAAAATGTAAACCAATCAAGGCAATATGGGTCAATAATCACAATGAAATAGAATGAGTCTGGCGCGAACTTTGAAAGTGGTAACATTTTTTCACGTAGTTTAGGAATTCTCCGACTTGCTCTTTTGTAGAGTGTAATATACTGTGATTATCATCCTATCCTGTACATGGGGTACATCTTACCCCGAAAAATAAGAAAATAACTTTTTTTATTCGACGGACAATTACCAGTTCGTATTGTACCAATTGCGGACTTAAGTCTTAAATAGATCTGCAATTTATTATATACTCATAGTCTCTAATCCTAGTATTAACCAGGTTAATACTTAATAACAACTAATACTCAGATATTATATTTTATTTAACGAGCACTATGCTCACCCATCTTCAAATCATGACCAATAACTCCAGTTGAAGAGAAATTTCACCAACTTCTAAGCCAAATACGAGGTCCAAATCTGTAACCCCTATAACCGACGACTCAGTGCCTGACAATGTCGAAGCTTTAACTACTGAACAATATGTGTATTGTACACAAAAGTCTCTATCACCACCAGATTTTCTATGTCACAGCCCCTCTATCTCTACGTGCAGTATGCCAACGGTAAGACTGGTTGACATACAAGACATTACACTGACGTGCATCGAAAAGTCAGTACAGTCTACTAGACAGTATGTTCTACCAAAGCCTAAATCTAAAATTTCAAGAACTAAAGAGTCCAGTGGTCCATCTCATACACACCAAAATACTGATAGAAATAGTAATGATATCCGACAGCTACAAAACTCTCTATCCGAAATTAACGGCAAACATGAGCGAATAGCACCCCTCACTCATATATGGGGCCTCGATACAGACAGGAATCTTGAGCAACTCACTAAAGCTGAGTGCATTTCGGAGTTTGTGGCTGAAGAAGTGACGAAAAGAGTGATGTCCTCCCTCAATGTAGTTGTGTATAACCTCCCCGATCGCACGCACCCACCTAAGTTAAGGGATATTTGCCTTAGAGCACATGGTATGCCGAACGTTAACTCCAAAGTCACCCGCCTTAGAGAAAAGTCAGATAGATCAACTTTCCCCTCTTGATTATGTTTGGCTGTTGTAACGATGCTAGGCCGTTTGTTGATTCGAGCAAAAATATTAGCTCATCAATTCCACACAAAAATATAAAAGTCACTCCAGACCTTACGCCCTGTCAACGTCGTGTAAGAAGACGTGAATCGATAGGATTGAATGGGAGTGTTACAGTTAATAATAAGCCAGAGACAGTTTGCAACACAGCAAATAGTTTGAAACACACGAACAATAAGTATGACACCACTCCACATACGGCTGATCACTCTGTTGATCTAGATGAGTCTTCAGGTCAGAAACCTTTGGATGAGATACGGACCCCAACTGACACCAAAAACCATAACGACATGACTAATCCCAACTGTTCCCTCAGTAATGTACTAAAATGTGAGTCATGGGACAACACACATCCAACTTAACCTATACACTCGAAAATTTGTCCTTCTAACGATACCCCACAAGTAGACTTGAAAGAGCCTGAGTTCATCTCACAGAGACAACGAAGGACTCCAGCTCTGACAATAAAGGGTGTGAAGACAAAACTCACGATACCGAATAGGGAAACACGTAAGATTGAACCCAACTGCTCTATAGGTATCCCAAGAACAGTGAACAGGTTCTTCCCGCTGCTATCGTATAACTTGCCTTCAACACCACTAAGTTGGAAAATGGGTGGTGGACTTCAGCGTAACAAGCCGTCTTACACGCAGACTAACGAAAACTACCAGGGAACTGGCCACCCAAATCACCCCCTGAGGCCTAAAACAATTAATAAGAATGGTAATAATAGGTTTCTCATTCCACACCCCATCTACATCCCCCAGGATCACAACTGTAATTATTCTGAGAAAGAAAACTCTTCACACCCTTTAGTACCAACCCACCACAAAAAAGGTTCCTATATATAATAACAGTCGCAACTCCTTCCAGTTACGCGTAGCAGACCCCTTTCACGCTAACGTAAACAGCCATAACAGGGGCTACGAGTCTAACCATCAAGACTATTTTGTAAATAACCATACACTTCACAGTAGGCCTGTACAAGATTGTTTTGGAATAAGACCCCTAGTGACACCTCTGTTGAAGCATATAGCCCAAGTTATTTCAAACCACATGCAAACCATAGATTTGTTTCCTCCGTACAGTTTCCATCAGAGTGCACTCCCACCCTTTCCTCCTGGGTAAACTCCCCAACCAACTTCACTAGCTCATTTGATACATCTCCCACTAAGTCTAGCTATCAAAATACCGAGCTAATAAAGAAAATTCTATCCCTCACTTCAAACTCATCTCGCACCCGCGAGGGTTACGACGACTTTATCCGAGATACCCTCACCCATTTTAACTTAGTAGACCACTTGCTTAATATATGTCTTATCAACGCTCGATCGATTTGCAACAAAAAGTCGGATATAGCCCTGTTTGTATCCATGTATCAACCATCACTCATAATGATATCTGAAACATGGACAAACAGTAATATTTCCGACCGAAGTATATCTCTTGATAACTATTTCCTATATAGAAGTGATAGATTGAATGGACGAGGCGGAGGATGCCTTATTTACGCTCACTGTAGCCTAAACTCACTACTATGTGATATGCCTGAACTAAACAAACTGAAGGAATCGGTGTGGATTGTATTAAAGCCGTCAAATTCCGTTACCTTACTGCTTTGATTAAAGCAGTATTCATACTTATCACAAACGTAAGAGAGCCTAACATCACAAAAGGAGGGGGGCGTTACTCACCAGCAAACATGACAGTAGGAAGATAACTTCAATTCACCCATGTCTGTAGGGCAGAACATTTTGTTTAATTACGGCTCCTTATAGTTTTGTGGGATATCACGAACTTAAGGTATTAATGCTGATTTATCATGCAAAATACCTCATTATATCGTGTTACGAACGTTGAATTGGTTTCACTTCCTACCCGGTAATCCTATTACAAGCAAACTAGACAATCCGATAATATACGAAACCTACTCAAGACCCTATAATACCTAAAAACTAAAAAAATAAACTAAAAATTAAAAAAATGCTAATACAAAAAAAGATGAAAAGGGCTCCAACAGCTTCGAAAAAAAGGAAGATAGTCAATTGTATATCATAATAACTGTTTTTAGCACTATATTTTATGACCACACATAATCCCATACTCTCAGCTCCTTTCTGAACCCCCTCCACTTGTCAGTTGTATGTCCGCCCATACCTTGTTGACACTTATTCTCTTTGACCTATTAAAATTCTATTGCTTAACAAATACCCTAATAAAAGAAAATTAGACTGAGTAATCATACCTTAAACATTCTTTCATGAATATTGGCTACTCTGCCTCTAGAGTTTTCTTTTACTTGTTCCCTCTTCCACCCCCCTTGAGATATGGAACGGGTGACTTCATCCTGCACCATCCTTAAAGCCATGGATATTCCAAAGGGACATAAGGTTGCGATTTCTAGAAGCTCCCACCTTCAATGGACCTATCTTTGACCATCAGTTATACATTCTCAACGCAACTTTCATGTGGCGCACCAACTGTGATACTGACTAAAACCATCTACATTCATATCTTTTAAATTATCAACCCAGCTGAGTAAGCTACTACAGTGGATAACGTATCGTCTGTAACAATTTGATCTTGCTTGTAAATTGGCATGCCTCATGTAACAAACTGTTATTTGGGAATAAATTATTATTATTATTACACATAGTAGGTAAATATACAAATAGATAGTAGGAAGACAGGTGTACTGATAGTGGTGAGAATAATAAAATACGATAACAAAAGTCTTATCAATAGTTAAACGTTGGAAACAGAGGGTCAAACGTGGGTAAATAGACTAGAAATAGTAATCACAAAACATAAAAATCATTACGTAATAGGTGTGTAAATGATCATTTCCCAACGGAGTTCGTTCCTATTTCCTGCATATAGCTGAAGCCATTGGAATTCGTACATATTACCCCGATTTATGTGTACAAAAGAAATTTGTAACCCCCCTATCCCTTCCATGGCTACAAGAAATCACGGACTTGATACTCTTGAGCACGTCATCGATAAATCTCCTTGAGAAGTTTCTGCCAAAAAGAATCGACAAAATTTCATGGTGTTCCAACAAATTGACGGAAGCCATTTTTGGAAGCTTGGTTATTCGCCTTAAGAGAATCGATTTTCGAAAAGACAGCCATAACTTTTAAGATAGATGTCAGGTCTTGGATGTATGACAAGGGGTAACGATAAGTGGTGGTTGGATCTTCGATAATTTCCAGTCGCACGCCAATTATCGGTATCTATTTCCAGAGACCGCAAGCGACGGGAATGCCCGTAGGCTATTGGATAGTTCTCTGGACAATTCTTGAATTTATCTAATCTACATAAAAAATAAGCAACTTTTACGATCTGAACCATTTTGAAGTATCAAAGAAATTATTTTGATTGTGTGCTATCACACATTGACTTCATTCGTTCCATTTTTGATGTTCCAACAAAATGTGGTGAATGATGTGTGCAGCGGCTTCACATGCTCTTGTATGTTTTTTCTTTTACCAAAATAGTCACAGATTATGCACGATCACGTTTTTCTTAATTACTTTAAATACGTATCACATCTTTGATAGAACTCGAGTTTTGGCTGAGAATAAGAACTCATTTTGGGGGGTGCTTTCAAACTACTCGATCGCCGTAGAGAAATTTTATGCTTTGAAAATCCCTGTACAGCATATTCTATAACGCCGTCTACCTCTTAGAGCTTTTGCCCTGCTTTGTGGATTAACTTTCATCCAGGACACAAACAGCCATGTTTTACATTTCTCAAGCTCTTTTAATGAAAGTCTTTTTATCTCACTCCGATCAAATTTCGGCTGATCGCTTTATTATTGTTGTTGTGTAATGACAGACTAATTACAACAACGTAGTAGATGACTCAAAGCAAGATGTGTGAAGTCCTTGATCGCTGTTGCTTTTTGACTGTCTATTCCAAGTGTTTGTCAATCTGTAACAGCTTAGGTTGGTTGGTTAAGAGTTCACCCCAAACAACTAAGCATATGTCGAAACAGTATAGTTCACGTTTTCATTCACTTCCTAATTTTGTATAGACGTTATATTTCCTATTATCTTATATTGAATGTAGAGAAGTTTTGTTTGTCTTAACAAATAATCCCAAGCTCCACTGTGACTGTGTGAAGATCTAAATAAAGACCTATTGACTACTTGTCTGGTTTCTTCTATCAATGGCACGAAAGTTACCTAGAGGCATGAAAAATTCATTGGTTCTTAGGAGAGAAAACTAGTCTCGTTCTGTCAAACATATTTATGTTTACTTGCAAGTACTAAACAGGTGTATTGCGTCATCGCATTTAGATGTATGGTACGTTGTTTTTTTCTAGAGAAACTTTTGACTGTATAAGGCACGGCTTCACTTTTCGTTTATATGTGTATGCACATGTACGTGTGCAAGTGTTTACATACGTACGTTCCACATTTCCGTATTCCTGTTTCATCTGACATGTTACGCTACTCCTCTACTCATTTATAGCCGATCGTATTATTATTGTCTTCTGGCCTGCTCATAGTTACCATCATTAAATTATCCTCATGTTTGATTTTTAACTACTTCCCGATGTCGTCCAAACTTGATTAAGTGTGTTGTTTTGTTTAACCCAAAATTCATGCCCATCAGATGATATACTAGGTTACTGTTCTTCAGTTGGCCTCATGTAGACTTACTGTCCACCAAGACGAAGCATGTTCCCCTATTGTTAGACGTTGTTTGAATTACTTTTGTTGTCTGTGCAATGAACGATCATGCACGTAAATTATTGGAGTAAATAAATGAACTAACCTGTTTCCATGAAGGATCAGAAAATGAACGCCGTATGTTTCAGACCGTTTAAGTATTCAGTTTTCTATGATTCTAATATCTGATCAGAAATAGAGTAATAAATATGCGAAAGTAAATTTGGTCGGGATTACGTAACTGACTGCTGTCTTAAGTAAATTACGGTATACTGATAATATGAAGTTTCTCTGGGAAATCAAGGTTAATATGTTGTATAATTTGTGGATGATCAGGCGTATATTAAAGTAGTGGAAGAGCTGACTCCATTGAGAGCTGAATTGTCCCACAATATTACACATGTTTCCGCTTCTTGAGCCTAAAATCTTCTTGTAAACCATTGGTCAAACAACCCCTCAGTGATTGCTACTATTGTACTATTATTGTACTTGAAAGTCACTTATCAAGAAATTTCGGAGACAGTTGTGTATTGTCACAAAGATGTTAGCGATAGTTCACTACTGTGGTATTTCCAACACCATGCATCTAAGGATACACTCGGTAAAGGCGTCAACGAATTTCACATTTACTGAAGGACAAGCTGCACTCTGTCGGGATTTCTTCTGAGGATATTTCAGAAGACTTGTTAACTATACGAGTAAACAATATCAAAATGCTGATGTTCTGTATAACAGAGTTGCTGAATTAATTGGATGCTGTCCCTCGTCTGTTACACTATCGATAACGACAATATATACGGAACTTTCGGTAGATAGTGAGTCAACTGACATTCGTTTGACTGATTTGGAAACATCGGCGGCGTGCAATGTTTTTAAAAAAGAGAATTCACAGACTTTCCGTTACTTGTAGTGATGACTGATTCGTTGGTCAATAGAGGGTGGTGTCGTTGGTTATTTACATGACGGCTGGAAGTAATAAAATCAAAATAATGGGTTTCGCGAAACACAGAAACGTAGTGATCCACTTAAGTCAAAAAAATTTTCTTAGCTTTTGCTACTTCTAAAAACAAAAGGTATTTCAGTTAATCCCGCGTCAATTTTGTTGATCCGTTTTAATTTCTTTAAGTTATCTGTCTATTGACTGTTCACGTGTATTTCACCAGGTTACTTAATAATAAACCCTTTGCTATCTTGCCATCTATCTGAGCTTAAATTTTATAATCTTTCTACTAAAATACCTACGTGGACATTCGTAAACATTATAGCTACTAATTCAACAACTACACCGCTCCTATCTCAACACTAACTTCAAAAGGCACTGTTAGAACTCGGTTGGAGGAGTATAGTTCAATGGATAGATTAACTATCTTATTAGAATTGGTATACATAAAAACAGAGTTTAAAAATCAAGAAATGGAGACTAGAAAAATAACTATTATGTGGAAACTTAAAACAACTATGTTGAAAATTGAAAACAACCTTGACGAGAACATATATAGGTAGCGACATCTGGTAAACTAACAGGTTGCTGGTTTTCAAACCTTCTGGTTCAAGGTTTGTGTATATCAGGTACTGGTTTGTTTTCTGGTCCTAAAAGTACATGTCCATTTTATTGAAGTTTCTAAGGTTGACCCTACTTGTCTCTGATGTTTGGGAAATTTGGAATATTTGTGTACTGGTTCAGAGTAAATAATTTCACTGTAAATGAAACTTCCAGACGAGATTTGTTTCTCAGCTGAATAATATTCTCCATTGCCTCAAAATGTTCCTAAATAAATCTATCTTTATCGTTAGAACTCTCTTTAAATGCGTGCCCTAAAAATTACATTTTGTCGAAGATGAATTGTTTGAAGTACCTCACTAAAAACACATCGATTAAATTTCCTAGTAATGTTGCTTATAACTACTTTGTTTTATATCTTGATGCAGTGTCTACTCTGATAATTAGTTAAGTTTTATCAATTCTAATCAGTAGTCTAATATTTAATCTTTTTATCAAGAGCTTGTATGAACCAAATGATTTCATTGCACTTGCTTCTTGTTTCATTATGGCTCCAGGCATTCGGTTATAAGTATACTTGCAAGATAAACAGGTGAAACTATCATTTGTGGACGAATCTTGAGGGACGATAGTAACCTTGAGGCGACCCACCTACTTACTATGGGTCAAAAGGGTCTGTAAATGAGTATAAAGAATTATTATTGGAATTTAAGGGTTGGGACTTGAAACAAGGGGTTTCGTCTCAAATTGACATCAAATATAATTCTGAAGTCTTATTTAACTATATAGATAAATGAATTTTGCTCCAAAATGCCATGCTTTCTGTCCTTAAATGCTTTGGTTTGTCCATAAATTATAGTCTTGCCGATAAACTGTCCTGTAATTCATTCTTATCAACGTGTTTAGAGTATTTAGCTTCAGTTCAGTAGCATGACTTTCAGGTGTGTATTATTCATAAGAATAAAGTTTAGTATATATCGGTCTGAGAGCAGCACAGTTCATCGATGCAAGAGTCAGATAAACATAAATACCGCGACAAATATTTCACTGTGATGACATCCAGGTAATTAGATCAAGGAAAAATAGCTAATAATACTGAAACAATGGGGAAAAAAATCATAAAACTATCATGTTTACGATAGAAATTGCGTTCAATTGTTGTACACAGTCCACTTAGATCATCAATATCTCTTTCTAAATATAAATATATTGGTACGTCTTAAATGTTCTAGCACTATAGAAACAAATTATTTCCGTTTTTATTTTTACAGACTACAAACAAATGGATGTATTACAATCCCTTACAAATTTCAGCGGAAAGCTTTATGGGGAAATGTTGGAAGAAAACCAGAGTAAGTCAGTATTTCAAAATATGCTCATTGGTATGTTTAGGTCATTTTGAGAATACTTTTCTCTCTCCTTTTAATATATATACTGCCCTGGGAATGATCCTTTCCGGCAGTGAAATGAATACAAAAACGGAGATAATGAAAATGATGCACTTATCTACTTGTTTGGAACATCATACAATTCACCATGGAATCAGTGGACTTCTGTTTAACTGTGCAGAACGTGGTGAAGGTGTTGAGATAATGTTTGGGAATGGATTGTTTACAGCAGAAGATGTGGATGTTAAAAAAGATTACGAAAATACTCTTAAGAGTTATTACAACGCACAAACAGAATCTGTGAGTTTATATCTTAACTTACTAATCTTTTGTGTAGATGACATTTCAGACGGATCCGGAAGGTGCTGGAAAACGAATAAACCACTGGGTTGGTGAACTGACCAAAGGGAAAATTCGTGAACTTTTTTCGCCTGGATCGCTGTCAACCGACACATCAGTTTTAGTAATTACCACTACATACTTTGAAGGTAATTTTATATATTCAACCTATGATACTTATGAATGTCCTTCAAAATTTGAGTTCGTCATTGTTTATAATTTCTGCAATTATCAGTAATTCCATAAATAGTTTTGTCTTCTAGGTCTGTGGAATCTACCCTTTCTTCAAGGAAGTTCACACGAAAGCGATTTCTTTAAACTTGACGGATCAACGATGAACGTAAAGTTAATGTATATGAATTCCTCATTTGAAACCGTCAGTTTACCACATTTGAAATCACGTGCTATTAAGATACCATTTAAAGATCCTAGGTAAGTATGTGTATTTTGGAGCATGTATAGAACACCTATTTTAAATGAGTTTAAGGGCAAACGTAACAAGCTTATTTTCGGTGATCTATGTACTAGTAGCCCAAGCACTGGTTTATGAGTTATAACTATTCAAGGTGTGGTTTTTCCTAAATCACCGTGAATGACTGGGTACAACCATTAGATCTTTTGGCCGTAGTTGTTAGAAAGCTTTGTTCAGGCTTTTTACTTATTTATTGTATTGCAACACATGGCCTAATAATGAGTCACGATCTCGGCTACAATCTGGGTGATGTAGCAAAAGCCTACAACAAATACACATAGATTTCTAAAGTCAGTGATTGCTAATTTCTGTCATCTGAGAGATATGAACTTAGTGTTTGTGATTTTTTGTACATTTAAGGTCATTAGTCAAAAGCTTAGGCAACATGACTTAAAAGTAATTTCACTGTCCTATGTCTGTTTAAGCGTAGTTTACTTTTGCATTTTGAACACGTTAATATATACTTTTTCAATCATAATTGACTGTCAAGCTCTCAACAACTAATTTCTTTACTTTAGAAAGCAACATTCGTTTACAGAATCTGACATCATATTTTAAGTTTGGTTTATTCTAATGATTTGCAAAATTTCGTGTTAAGGTTTTTGTGAAACACGTATTCGCTAAAACGTTTTGTTGGAGACCAACTGAAAACGAAGGACTAAGCAATACAAACTGTATTTTCTCGTAATATGACTTTAGTATAGAGATAAACGACCAAACACCAATATGATTCGTGAACTACTAAAATATTGTCTACGAACGGTGAACCTATATGATTCAAAATTATAATTGGGAACCTCTGAAGATCCTCGCAAACCTACAAGGGAATTTCAATAGGTATTCTGAACTTGACTCGGATACGGTTAGTTTTTAGTGAAGTCAGCTTGCTAATGTCAGAACGTCAGGTATCTATGACACTTATTGGTACTCCACTGATTAAATGAGTCGACATTTCTGCCTCTCTTTAGTCAGCTTGATAGTTAAATATACCGTGTCATTCTACTTAACATCATTTTTATATCAATTCTCTTTTCGGTATGTTTAGGTGTAGTATTATTTTGCCTAACCAGGTATCGTCATTTAAGTATTAAGCTTCAGATATCTTGAGAAAAACATACGAAGTGTAGAAGTTTTATAAAGAATTTGATGAATAAACAGTATTTCAATAGCGTAGAGTGATAAATACATATGAATACAATTAATGCTAGGCAGATTATATTTGGATTCATTATTCGGTAAACGAAATCTAAGAATCAAGACTATTGCAATTTAGCTCCATGTAATGTTTACTCAATAGAAGTTGATTCAGTCATGAAGTGTATAGATATTATTGATTGTTCATTTATAGCTCAATATTCTATTTTGTATTATCCCTTTTCCAACCTTTTCGTTTTTTAGATTCTCATTATTGGTCATTCTTCCAAACGCAAATGATGGATTATCTGAGTTACTAGATGCGTTACATAGAGATGATGAATTTTCATCAATTCTTTCTTCTAACTTTACGGATACCAGTATACATTTGTACTTACCAAAGTTCAAACTGAAGGAAGGCAGTGCTATAAGCCTTGTAGGTTATCTACAGAAAATGGGAATGAGAGAGGCTTTTTGTCCAGGATCAGCTAACTTTACAAACATGTCTGAATCAAGTAATTTATGTATACGAGATATACTCCATAAGGCTATTCTTGAAGTGAGTCGTATAAATCTTGTGTTTCTCAACAAACTTCGTTGTTATATTGCATTTACCTGTTAATATTGTGAAATAAACTTGAAGCGCTGGTTGGTTGTAGCCAGTATGGTTGAGATTCGATTTCTGTCTACTTGTTTATACAGGATTTCATACTTGCGAGTAATGCGTTCTGCAATTTCTTCGGAACCATATCTGCTAGTTTGATGCGTAAGACTTAATCGAAACACTGAATGTCAGCTTAACACCACTAACGTGCATGACAAGGACGGACTTCATTCAGATAATGTTTCTTGATTTCTCACTCAACCTCTTTGTCATGAAATAACTTTAAATATAATACAATCTGAGGAGTCATGAGTGACATCGGTATTTCAGGATAGTGTTACTTATGGAAAGACGATCTGTTTGGTTTGTCAAAAAACCACGACTAGCAGCAGCGTAACTTCAACGTACTCTATTCGTCTCTTGGTGTTAGCGATGGCAATCCACGGAGAGTCACAGAATGTTGTTATGTTTGAGTGGTAAATTCTGATAGCCGTGTGGAATAGTTATGTTGAACAGAATGTTTGAGAACCAACCCTTGTAATAGATTTGTGTAAGGATTTTAAATCACATCCTTTAACATGTCTACGAAAATCCATGTAACCACCTGAAGGCATGTTATTTTCAATTACATCGGTCGCTTTTCCACAGGCTTTTGTCAGTCTCTTGAAAATAATTCACATATCAGTGATACTGATATTTTCGTCACTCACGAAAGACTATTTTATAAAGGAAAGTTTGTTGTTCATTCCAATTCGTTATGGTTACCTTATGGTTATTAGAGCACTAATCAGGTTTTATTTCTTAGTGATATTTGAGATAGATTTCACCACTCATTGTGATTAATTTTATTCAGAAAAGTGTTTTCATATTAAGTGCTTTCAGTAACTGATGACAGAGTGATTGATTTTGTCTTTAACTGTGATGAAATTCTATTGAGGAAGTTGCAATGTGACCGCTAGTTTAAGTGGCTTGGCATTGCAGTGCACTGTGATGTGTTGAAAGTGTTTGGAGGTGGTTGTAACGAAACTATTGACCTAGGTTCAGTGATAGTTTGTTACTGTAAGACTGAAACTGGAACCTTGGGGGAACTGTCGCCCTCTGTGAAAATCGAATTCACATCAACCCTTGTCACTTTTGAAGATGTTACCACTGAGCTATTTGTGCTACAACTAATCTCCTGTATGAGCTGAATATTAAAATTGACGGATCAGCGAATTGTAACCAATGTCATGTTGTTTATCTGTTAGAGGTGATGAAGTTTTGTGGACTTAGTTGCAGTATTATCAGTAGTCCAATGAACTTGATATTTCAATAAGCGTTTTTGTGTTCCATGATTGAATGACGCATTAGAGCCGTGAGTTTATTGACTTCTGTTATTTACTTTCGATTTCCAATTATGTCACACATATTTCTATTTACCCAGAATCAATCACGACGCACTACGATTTCTAACCACATTGGTTCACAGAGTTTAGTTAACGTTGGAGACCTTTACGTATTTGAGCAGCATCATTGATGAACAGGGTGGATCTGATGCAGATGTGAAGGCGCGGATCGGCAAAGCAAGAGCAGCATATTTACAACTGAAGAACATCTGGAACTCAAAGCAACTGTCAACCAACACCAAGGTCAGGATTTTCAATACAAATGTCAAGACAGTTCTACTGTATGGGGCAGAAACCTGGAGAACTACAAAAGCCATCATCCAGAAAATACAGGTGTTTATTAACAATTGTCTACGCAAAATACTTCGGATCCGTTGGCCGGACACTATTAGCAACAAACCAGATCCCAGCGGAGGAAGAAATCAGGAAGAAGTGCTGGAAGTGGATAGGACACACATTCAGGATAGCACCCAACTGCGTCACAAGACAAGCCCTCACATGGAATCCTCAAGGCCAAAGGAAAAGAGGAAGACCAAAGAACACATTACGCCGGGAAATGGAGATAGACATGAGAAAAATGAACAAGAATTGGATGGAATTCGAAAAGAAGGCTCAAGACTGAGTGGGTTTGAGAATGCTGGTCAGCGGCCTATGCTCCATTGGGAGTAACAGGCGTAAGTAGTAAGTAAGTAAGTAGTGGAGACAAGGTGACTCAACATAATTAAATCTGAGTTGACTAATCCCTCTTACATTGTTCACGTTGATGAATGCTTCAGACAAAATGATAATGAGTAAATCTGTGGTTTTATGTAACATGAAATATTGTAATTATTTCTACTGTTTCTTCCACTTAAAAATTGTTAATATAAGTTCTATTGATTTTTGTTCATAGGTGGATGAGCAAGGTGTGGTGGCAGCCGCAGCATCTTCTGCAGAAGTTGTTCAACTTGCTGCGCCTTTACCTGAATTCGCTGATGAGGAATTTCGTGTTGATCATCCATTCTTCATTTCAATTATTTGGAATAATTCTTTGCCAATATTTCTCGGACATGTTACAAGTCCAGAGAATTGATAATAGTCATGATATATTCATCAACCTAACATACTTTTCCTTTAAAAACAATGTTTACATACATTCTGATTTTTATTCAATTATGTATTCTGGATCTTTGTACTTTTAATATAGAACAGTTCTGATGTGATGTTGCTTATTACTTCATGGAAGTGATGGTTTTAATGAAACCTTTGAATGTTTTTTTTCTATTAACTTGAGTTTTATTTTCACTTCAAATATAACCGTCCATTTGTTATTTGTTTTTCAATAATCATGAAAGATTCCAATTTCATGTCCAAACTGATGTAAGTACAGTGGGGTTTGAACCTGTGACTTTTTAGTTGAGACTAGAACACCTTAAACACTGATACAGTGATCCGTGGATTAAAGACTAGAATGTATATGAATGAGTTTTATTTGGCAATTAAGTGATGTGAATATTTAGGTTTCTACACTGAGAAAAATTCGGGATGAATGCCACCATAATAATATCTGTCACTGATTTGCAGCATAGTAACTGTGGTAATATAAGTCCGTTTTTAGATATTTGTTACTGAAGATTATTGATAAAAAATGGACCTAGACTTCATGAACTTTTAATTTGACTCCATCCATTTTGTATTTTTCGAAAGTCGGATAGATTCACTTCAAAATGGGTATTAGAACTGCGTCCTTCCTCTCTGATGTATTTTGATGTGATTCATTGGATGTTTAACGACGACTACTTTTTTATAGTAGATGAATCCACAAGTCGATTGAAAAAGATACCGTGAAATCAGAATACACAGGAAAATGTAGTTTATAATTAAAGCAGTCAGTAAGCTGATGATCAGCTCATAAGCTTGGACAGAGGTGGATTCACATAGGTTCTCGTACTGCATTTGTTTTCGAAGTATTACTTGAGTTTAGTGGAACTAGCGAGTGGGCGAGTTTAATGTTTGGTATGTGGTACTTGACAAACGTGGCAAATCGGCTGATGGGGTCAGTTTTCGTCACAAGGTGTAGTGGTTAGAGCATATATCACGTGTACCTAATCATACATACCTTAACAGGTGATTTCTTCTGGTTTAGGAGTATGCTGAAATAAAGTTCGAGGCGGCTGAGTCAAGATAAAGCATCAAGTTATGAAGAAATTGACCATTGTTCTGAGCCATGTTGTTAAATTCAAACTACGTAATTCGGGTCGAAGTGGCATTTATTATCAGTGTCTAGAGACCTTGGATAATATAGCTCAGGGTCGTTCACTGAAACCGAGATGTATCCATCCAGTATCTTTTTGACGACCGTTGAATGTTAACCAGCTGCTTACTCTAAACAGCAATGTGATTCATCTTGCTCACAATCAAACATTTACGAGTGAATAGTCGTTTGTTGAAAATATATAGCAGTCATTGTTTTACTGATGTGACGAAACCCACAATTCTGTAGTTTTATCACTTATTATACATTGAAGAGAATTATTCAAGTAGGATTGTGAATACATTCAAAACTAATTAAACATTGCTCATTTGAAAAAATGATACAATTCGATTGTATGTCAGTTTAGTAGTACAAAAGAATGACTGTTGTATAAACGGTGTTTTCATGTCAATGCCTTAACTTCGTTTCTAGACGTAGTGCGGTGAACAGAACATGGGTGGAGACAATCGAACGCAGTTAATGCACACTCACAGGACATGTTAATATAATCCATCAATCATAAAGTAAATGATTAATTTGCAAAATGTCCATCAGTTGTCTCAAAATGACTCAGACTTCATTATTCTTGCATTTTCATACAAATTGCATTCTCTTTCCATTCTTTACTGTTCGATCCTCTTGTCTTTCTGCTGCCTAGACCCTTCTGTCCACGACTAACATCATATACTACTTATGTCAATATAAGTAGCACACACTAAAGTAGTACATGGAATGAAATTACTGACTAAATAAGGGTAAATGGGAAGTATGAATAATCGATTAATGTTTATATGTTTAATGTACTGTCATAGTTGTGGGGCAGTGATTGACAGCAACTAATATGATATGACACTTGTAAATTTAAATGATATATGTAAAGTTATTTATTTGTATTGCACTTGTCATTATTACTCAGGCAATATCGACATATTTCTTCATAAGTAAAATTATTAGACACTTAATAAATAGTGGATATACAATAGTTATTTGTAATATGTTCAAATAACCAACGCCTATGATGGTATTTGAAGAGGGTTCTTTGCTTGGAGGTGACAGTTGCGGTGTGAAGTGATTCAGTGACTTGCTGGGTAATGGCTGGTCATTAGTTAGAATTCACACTGGACTGAGTGTGTTTCTGAACGTAATTGTAAATCTTAATTATTGTGCAGGATTCTTCAGCCTAGTCTTCGTCTTCTAAGTTGCCTGTTTGTCTGGTAGAAGAAGTATTACAGCAAAAAATTTACTGAAGTCTAACATTTTCTCCAATCGAATCGTCGTTCAGTTTAACCGATGGGTAGGTTATTAGTACATATTGGTAAATTCTAAAGTTAGAACGAAATAACTCAGTAATGTCAGACTTTCAGCAATGTCAACTCAAGATGATAGCCTTGGTTAAGTTCATGATGGAGTGGAGAAAATCCCATGTTGAACAGTTTCAAGTAGCTATTGATAGCTCAATGATCACCATTGTATTTTAACTGATACTTAAGCTGAACATTATCTCAGGCCTTCTCCATCAAAGCTGTTATGTGAATGGGTCGAAACTGTCTGAGAATATTCTCTGTATATGCAAATGAATTGTGAAAATTATTGACTTGATAAGTTTTTGAGCAAACATATTGAATGTTGCATTTTACCAAAAATCTCTGCATTTATTCGACATATCTACAAGTTTAACCTGTTTGATTTGTCAGCTTTTCGCTACATTTAAACCTTTGATCATACTAGAGTGAAATTTCGTAGCAGTCTTCAAGATGTCATACACTGTTGAACCACTGTTGTTCAGGTACTGTGAAATAGAATTGGGGAGATGTATGAAAGAGGTAGAGATTGATAGAGCATGTAGCAAGTAGACTGTCTAACGTCAGTTCAGTTATTCATATAAATGAATGTAGTATAACATCCTATTTAAAAACTGAATGAAATTTAACATTTTATTGATGAAATTTCGAAAGTTGAAGAACTGTGTGTTATTATTGTCTTCATACAAAACTGAAAAGTAACCGGGTGAGATTTAGGCTATAGTTGTCGGCAAAGTTTCCTTTTGAGATCATGAATCGACTGATGTTTGAGCACTAATGAAAACCTGGAATCACTGGACGGCCGTTTCATCCTATTACATGACCCTTCATCAGTGTGCGCCTGCGATCTCTTTCGCCAACGCTTAACCTCTAAAACCACTGAGTCTTCACCTAACAGTGTTAATGTCTAACCTCAACCAATCCACGAAAAACAGCCATCCAGTGCTTTCAGGTTTTCAATGTTGGTCTAACATCAATCGATTCGTGATCTCAATCAAAAAATTAATAATCTCCACAACCTCATACTGATAAAGTTTTCAATGTGAAATGTTTAAACAAGATATTCTCATGCATCATTTCACATGAACATTGTACATAATGATATGATGAAAAATCCAAAACAGAAATCTCCACACAATATGAAGTGGCACAATTGAGATTGTATTCTAATCATCATTAAACTAATCGTTTGTTGTATAATCTCCATCGAAATATAATCAAGTGTGATATCAACTTTGTACAAGTTATCATCATCATCATCATCATCTGATGTATTTACATGTGTCGTAATTTGCTCAAATGGTTTCATCGAAACAATGCAAACTTTTCATTTATTATGTACATGATAAAGCATCATTAGGTTTCCTAAAAGAGCTGTTGTTTGTTAAGCACAATACTTGACATAAGTAATTCATTATACATTAAGGAAATATCAATCATTATAATATTAAAGATTGTAAAGGGGGGATTTCACCAAAACTAATTACTGCATTACCAATGATAAGCTATTAGTTTTATTATTTTGGAAATGATTGAATAGTTTATGATTTAGGTAAATTGATTTTGTATTCTGATACCTTTCAGAGTTTTATGATTTGAGTCTGTCAGATAGTTGATAACTATGGTTATTGTCATGATGTCGCTGTGTGTTGAACCAGTTTGTTTTCTATGTTAGCATGGATTTATTTGAAATTGGCAAGTGAATTTGATTTATATCACGTTACCATGTTTTGATTTGAATTAGTTGATCACACGGTAACATTGTTTTGTTGTGTGTGTGCGTGCGTGTGTATTTCAGTTAGGTTACTATGGTTTTTCTAATACCGGACTAACCCATTTTTGAAATCAGTAAAGGCTTATACTTTGTATGAAAATTCACTTGATGTTGTTTACTTGTATCTTCCTATTGTTATTTAGGACTGCAATTTACCATTCTTGTATTGGCATATGTGTATCCTGTACGGACTGCATCGATATTGCTTAGATCACAAGCTTCATTAGCAAACATGGATCTAAGGCAATATCGAGGTAATACACACAGGATGCACATATGCTAATAAGAGACTGATCAATTGCAATCCTAAACATCAATTGGAAGATTCAAGTAAATAATACTAAGGGAATTTAAACTTCACTCCATTGCGCGAGCAAGTTTTTATCAGAACTCAGTAATAACTGGATAACGCGATGGCATTCAAAACGAACATTACATGGTTTTAACATATGAGTCAACTCTTGGATACAGGTACATCCAACTAGCGAGTCTCGAATTCGACGTAACGCGGTTCATAAATTCTACTGTTAGCCATTATCCAACTTTGCTTTCAACTAAATTAACTTAGAAATGCTTCATAATCACTTTGTTTTAGATGTATACCGATTCATAGATGTTATTACATTGAGACATTATAAAACGAAACACTAACATAACATTTGAAGTATGAAAAAGAAAAACCATTCAAAGTGATTCACACATTAACGACATAAAGTAATGATCGTTGAATTATATTGAGGATTGATCAGAGTTCTGAATGTGAACTATTCAAACACAGTAGGATAAAGTTAACAAAGTCAGTATGAACCGAGCAGGCTAAGAATCCAAGATTCATCATAGACATAGATGTATGTTATTGAGTAGTATTAGAAAAGATTGAAAAATCCGCCGGTGATTAGTTATTTACAGTCTAGTAGTTGTTGCTAAGCTTTGATAGAAACTCTTTACAAATTTAATTTATCTGCACGAAACTCTTGTAATTAATGCATTTTGTAAAGTAAT